CCTCGCTGCTGCCTTTCTGCCTGTCTGTGTGTCATCCCAGGGTGGATCATTCCAAAGGCACAGGAAATGGCCTCTGAGAGTGCACATATGTGTATCTTCACAACTTAAGCGCTCACCCCAACCCAGGTTTTCCCTGGGCCTGAAGCCAGAAAACCCCACCCCAAGAAGCAGAGGAGCCCTCTCCTCCCATTTGAATGAGAGGGGGCTCTGGAGGAAGCCATCCCAGAAGCTCACTAGAACCCCACAGGGGAAGTGGTTCAGGCACCTGGCTCATCTGCGGTTCCTCCTTGCTCGCAGAGGAAAGAAGGAAAGAGCAAAACACCCCCCACCCCAGGATGACACTAAACACCCAGCAGGAAGCAAAGACCCCCCTGCGTCGTCGAGCCAGCACTCCGCTGCCCCTGTCCCCCCGGGGCCACCGGCCCAGCCTCCTGTGCACAGAGCCCTCCACGGAATCCCAGCATCCCCGGTTGGGCCAATCAGCCTCCCTCAACCCTCCTGCTCAGACCCCTTCACCCGCCCCCAATGGTTGGTCCTCTGAATCCAGTGACTCTGAAGGCTCCTGGGAGGCCCTCTACCGAGTGGTGCTGCTTGGAGATCCTGGTGTAGGGAAGACCAGCCTGGCCAGCCTCTTTGCAGGGAAGCAAGAGCGGGACCTCCATGAACAGCTGGGAGGTAGGGCCCTTGGACTGGGCTGGGGTGTGGCTAAAGGAGTGAAAGCCCTGTCACTAGGACACAGGGCTGCCAAGAACAGCTGTACAAGTTATGCACTGTTCAACTCTAGGGGCATCATTCACACAGATTATGAAGTGAGTGGTGCTCCCAAGAGTTGCACAGGGCACAGCCTGCACCATGGCCTAGGGGAGGGGAAGCCTTGGAATAGTGAGGGAGGATTTTAACAAGTTCTTGTGGATAACAGATGTATGATTCATTTCCATGTCATAAAGGGAACAATACTGAGTTCCATGAGTCTCTTGAGTGTCAAGGAATGGTGGGCTTCTGCCCAGCTCAGAAACTCCCGGCCTCAGCTCCCAGTCCCATAGACACCCATCCCTGGCCACCACAGCCTGCAGCAAAACTAAGATCCTGTCCGAATGGAAGCTCCAAGACTCCAAGTGCCAGGGCCCTGGGTTCCTTTATTCCCAAGAAAGACAGTGAACTGAGAGAGTGACAGGGTTCAGAGACCTAAAGAAAGGAAGATGGGCCTCTGCAGGGCTGGCTGAGAGGACATCCGGTGGGCGGGGAGGGGAGTAGTTAAGAGCAGAGAGAAGGTGGAGACACTCCAGCCAGGCCCTTTCTCCAGCCTTGACCTTCCTGAGAGTGAGAACCCATGAGAGGTGTGCGCCTGTACACCTGTATGTGTTACAAAGAGGGAAACTGAGGCCCAGAGAGGGTAACATGATCTGCCTAAAGCACACAGTCAGGGACAGAGCAGGACTAGGAGAATTGTCAGCCTAACTTTAACCCCACCAACCCACACTTATTCAACCAAGCCAGCAAAAGCTTTCTAAGTACCTATGTGCCAGGTACTATGCTAGCAGCTGGGGAGATAATGGGCTCCTGGTAGAGCTTCCTCCCCCGGTCTCCTCCCTGAGATCTGGCTCTTCCCTCACTTGCAGAAGATGTATACGAGAGGACCCTCACAGTGGATGGGGAGGACACCACGCTGGTGGTCGTGGACACCTGGGAGGCTGAGAAACTGGTATGGCACAGGGGGGTCAAGGTGCTGTGCCTAGTACCTGACTTATCCTCTCCTGGGATGCTACAGACCAGGGATGGGGTGGGGGCCATCCCCAGCACCCGCCAAAACCCACAGCTCCTAAGCAGCTTTCCAGCCAAGGAGAGAAGAGCTTCATGACCTTGACCCCCTCTTCTAACTCTGCTGGTCCCCTCCCTGTGGCCTTGCCAGGATGTGCTCCTCCCTCTCCTTACAGCCCCCCTCCTCCCACTCGACCCACCCACTTTGTACGGAGGAAAGAACACTGGTTTTGGCACCCAAATGCCTGAGGTTGAACCCCTTTCTTTTTCTTACCAGTTGTGTGACTTTGTCCAATTGACTTACCCACCCTGGGCTTCAGTTTTCTCATCTGATAAGTGGGTCAATTATTCCTGCCTTCCTCATCAGGTGGTTTTACAAAGTTCTCATGCAATTTCACACAGGTGAGCAGTTTGGAGCATGAATAAATGCTGAAGAGAGGTGAAGAATTGTAGTAACGATAATTCTGATTAATCATAACAAGATAGGTGGTGAAAAAAGGAAACTAAAGGGTATCTTGTCCTTCCTTAGCCCCTCCCAGATCAGGAGGAGAGCAGCAGCTAAGGAGATGCCCCGGTTAGGCTCCTTTTCCTTTCTGTTCTTGTTTGGGTTTTCTTTTTCCTTGTTATCCAGGTAATACATGTTCATTGTAGAACTTTGAGAAGATACATCTAAGCCAAGAGAAGGATCTAAAATTTACCTAGGATCCCATCTCTCTGATGGGTAGACCCCCTATCCTAACGCTCAGGGCTTAGAAGGGCAGTGTTGGTGACTGACAAGCATGGCTGACAGCCTAGTGACAAGCGCAGAGAAAGGATGAAGGAGCTACGTGGCCGATTCCTTTTAACAAGCATAAAAAGGAACCCAGGTCCAGATGAGCATGATAATAATGATGATGATGATTTTCACAACAGCAGTCGGCATGCAGGGACGCCCTCTTCCTAAGTTTCAGTCCCTGTGCTAAGCACTGGACATACATGCTGACACTCTGTCAAAACAAAAACAATACAGTGAGTGTTCTGATTCCCACTCTACTGAAGAGACTGAAACTCAAACCAAAACCAAACCTGTTGCCATCAAGTCGATTTCAGCTCATGGCGACCCCATGTGTTACAGAGTAGAACTTAGCTCCATAGGGTTTTCTTGGCTGTAATCTTTATGGAAGCAGATCGCCAGGCCTTTCTTCTGTGGCACTGCTGGGTAGGTTCAAACCACCGACCTTCCGATTAGTAGTCAAGTACAAACTACTTGTGCCACCCAGGGACCTCTAACTGAAGCTCAGGGAAGTTAAGTGTGTCCAAAGCTCTCAGCAAGTGAGATTCACATCCAGATCTATGAGCCCCCAGAGCCTGCCCACTTATACACTGGGACTGCACCACCCTATCCCCCTTTGGAGCTTCACCCTCAGAACCTTCTGCTGAGGTTTCACTCCTTCACGCATTCATTCATTCAGAAATACTTGCTAGGTGTCTACCATGGGTCAGGACACTGTAGACACACTGGTAAGACAGACGTGTCCCTCACCCTCATGGAGCCCACAGGCTAGTGAGGGAGGATCTGATTTTTGGATGCAGTTGACAATCCTATGAGACAGAGTCTAGTGAATAAGAAAAGTGATCAGACCAGGAGTCCTATCTGGAAGATAGGGCAAGAGTGCTGGACTAGAAGGCAGGAACTGGGACTCTGCACCCAGCTTGGCTGTGTGGTCTTGAGAAAGTTTTCTCGTCTTCTCTGGACTTTGGTCTTCCTACCAGTAAAATGGGGAAGCTGGGCCATACCATTGGCTGTGAAGGTAGTTCCTGAAGAGGGTCTGCACAATGGCAGCCCCACTGGAATAAGCGTCCATCCTTTCCATCCTGAGCCCGATGGAATTCTCTGATGTGTAGAGAGGCAGAATCTGACAGAATGGCTGGGCCTTTGGTTCATCCAGGAGTGCCCTAGCCTGGGTGACCACCAGGGTCACCTGGAGAGAATATTAAAAATCAGATTCTCAGGCCTTGCCCCAGACCTAATGAATCACCTCTCAAAGTAAAGTCTTGGAATCTGTATCTTTAATCACAATCTAAAGAGATTCTTAGCCACCAATTCATGTACCAGTTGGTTTTTGTGATCCTAACATGTAGATAATCCTCCTTAAATATCTGTGGAATGAATGAAGTAATGGTCTAGACCCACCCTCTCATTCTACATATGGGGAAACTGAAGCCCAGAGGGAGTAAAAAACCTGTCCTTAGTCAAGTGAGGCCAGAATGAGAACCCATGTCTGTATGATTTCAGCCCAAGGTTATCTCACCTATAGCTAGATCAGTATAGTTGCTGACAACTTACCCTCTTTGACAATGATGGTTGACCATGAATCTGGTGCTTTCATATTCATTTATCTTATTTGGATATCAGAAAGCTCTTCTGGCTTCGTCTCCTCTCAAAACCGATGCTTCAACCACATTTGGTCCTTCCCTTAGCTCTGGCTGTTCCCTTTGTCTGGAATCTCTTCTTTCCTGTTCAGAGACTCATCCTTTAAAACCTAACTCACAAGTCCACTGTGAAGCTCTCCCACACTCTGCTAGGTTGACTTCTTCTGGCCTCCCCACCCCACCCTCATGACTCCCCCAGCCACTTGCCTAGCCTCTCTTAATGTGTTTATCACACTTAATGTTACCTACCACATTGTAACTCTCCATTTACATGGAGGACAGGGACCGTGTCTTATGAAACACTTATAAAGTTGTTACCCAAGTAGTCCAGTCTCAGAGTGTTTTCCCTGACAAAAGATGATCAACAAAATGAAATATCAAAATTACTCGCGTTCTTTCCTTGCTTTGGTCTAATAGTTTGAAAGGACCCTACTTCTTAAAATGCCCCTTGCCTCTCCCATCCCCTTTCCTTACACTCCAGTTACTCCTTCACCTCTCTTCAAGACTCCTCTGAAAAATGCCTCCCCCTGAAGTGAGTCATCTGTTCTACTTCTCTCCTTTCCTCTTTTAATTCTGGACTGTGAAGGCCAACAGAACTGTCTGGGAAGGCAGAACCCTCCTCAGAAACCAGACAAAGGAACTGAACAGGCAAAGCCTGAATCCTTCCTAGCAGGCAGGGGAAGCAAGGGCACAAGTAAACCTCTTGTCTCTAGTACTCAGCCTACAGAAGAATGAATGAATGAGTGAATGCAGTGAGGCAATGTCACTAGCCCAATTTTTCCAGCAGAGAAACTGAGGCTCAGAGAGAAGCAGTGGGTTTCCCAAGGTGACACAGGGAATTATGGCAGAATTTGTCTCTCAAAGTGTTCAAAGTATAAACGTCAGCCTCTCCCTGCCCATTAGACCATCCCAGCCCCCACCTTCCCCAGCCAGGGACTGGGCACCCTCTGAGGAGATGGCCTGGGGTCTCCCCTCCACAGGATGAAAGCTGGAGCCAGGAGTTGTGCCTGCAGGTGGGCAGCGCCTACATCATCGTGTACTCCATCGCAGACCGAGGCAGCTTCGAGAGCGCCTCTGAGCTCCGCATTCAGCTGCGGCGCACACATCAGGCTGACCACGTGCCCATCATCCTTGTGGGCAACAAAGCAGACCTGGTGCGCTGCCGGGAAGTCTCCGTGGAAGGTGAGCCCTCACCCACCCTCCTCTGTCTTCTTCGAAGCCCCATTGTCACTGATCCTCCTCCAGTGCTCTTCATCTCAGTGCCTGTCCCCTGGACCACTTGGGTAATGACTTTATAAGTGTCCTGCGTGTATGTGCCTAAGCTTGAAAGCTAGGCACCATTCCTGCCTCCTCTCTCACCCCCCTAGTCAGTCCTGAAGCCCTGTCAGATCCACCTCCCTTAATCCCACATTCCCCTCCCTCCATGCCCACAGCCTCTGCCCTACCCTGACACCTCCTCCAGCCTGGGCCAGCCGCCTTACTTCTCTACCCACACTCAACTGGTCATCTTCATCAGCTGCCAGGGTTTTCCAAAACCAGATCTGACCTTGTCACTTCTTTGCTTAAAAAATCACCTATGGCTCCCCCATGCCCTTGGTTAGAGACACTTGATCCACTAGGCATGACAGGTCCAGTGCTTACAGGCTTTTCAAGGGCTTATATTTGAGACCTACAAAAAACAGTCATGGGCTCCAAAATACAGTGCAAATTTATAAATTCAAAATCCACAAAGCTTTAATTATCTAAAAAGCATAACGTTGTCAGCCAGCAACTGCAAATGAAAACTTTTAAAGTTACACATAAATAATATTTAAAGCAGGATAAGAAACATTTAAGTATGTTTGATACGATGTCAGGTGGGACCCATAAAGATCTTAAAAATAGCCCTACCCACAGGGTAACATCTAAACCAACGTTTCTCGAATTTAATCAGCCCCCATATTAGTACAACTCCTTCAACTTGCAAATGTGAATACTGAGACCCAGAGAGGGGAAGCCATTTCTACAGGTCACCAGTCAGTAAGAACTAGATCCTAGGGTCCTGCCTCCCAGACCAGTGGCATCCTGGAGATAGAAGACCATACGCTTAGTGGACTATTATTGTTAGCTGCCATCAAGTCGGCCACTAACTCATGGCGACCCCATGTATAAGATCAGACCGTTGTGATCCATAGGGTTTTCATTGGTTGATTTTTCGGAGGTAGGTTCCTAGGCCTTTCTTCCTAGCCCGTTTTAGTCTGGAAGCTCCACTGAAGGCTGTTCAGCATCATAGTAACACGCAAGCCTCCACTGACAGATGGTGGCTGCACTTGGCCGGAAATCGAACCCTGGTCTCCCTCATGGAAGGCGAGAATTCTACCACTGAATCACCACTGCTTCCCTATTGTTAATGGGCAGCCATGCCGGAAAACTGCAACATAATCTCCAGAAGCTCTTGTTAAAATGCAGAGTCCCAGACCTACTGAATCAGAATCTCTGAGTGTAGGCCCAGGAATCTGCATTTTTAACGAGCTTCCCTAGGTAATTCCGAGGCACAGTAGATTAGAAGACCCCTTACCTAGCATTCAAGATCCTTCCTTATCTGGTCCCAGCCTGCCTGTCTTCCTAGCCTCATTCTACTGCCATGGAGGGGAACACCCGCACATCCTTCTAGGCCCAGTTCAAGTATCAGTCACAAGCCTATGAACTAACTCCTCAAAGCCAGGTTTGATTTATCTCTGAGCGCCCGGCACCTAGCACAATGCCTACCTAACACACGCACAAGCACAGGAAAAGGTGCTTGAGGTGAGACTGAATACATCTCTTCCTGCCTCTATCTCCGCCTTCCGGTTATTGCTCCGCCCCTGCTTACCCGACCCCGCCCCACCCAGAGGGCCGCGCCTGCGCTGTGGTGTTCGACTGCAAATTCATCGAGACGTCAGCCACGCTGCAGCACAACGTGGCCGAGCTCTTCGAGGGCGTGGTGCGCCAACTGCGCTTGCGCCGCCGGGACAGCGCTGCCCAGGAGCCATCGGCACCCCGACGACGGGCTAGCCTCGGTCAGCGCGCTCGCCGCTTCCTGGCACGACTAACAGCCCGCAGCGCCCGCCGCCGGGCACTCAAGGCCCGCTCCAAGTCCTGCCACAACCTGGCTGTGCTCTGAGGCCGCCCGTCCTCAGGGGCGTACGGGACACTGGGCCGCATCCTGGGCTCAGCATATGCCTTCAAGGGGCAAAGGCTTGTTTGAAGCCCTAATTGTGGGCCTGCTCGCTTCCCGCAGCCTCAGAACTCCTCCAGAGGGGGAAGCGATTGGAAGAGTATGGGGCGGAAGCCTCAAGGTGGGGACAGAGTAGGGTTTTTTATGCGGTGGGTACTTCTTGTAAAAAATTTTCATGTCCTTGGACTTTGGTCTACCCTCAGAAGCCTCCACCATAAACCAGATCAGGAGGATACCCTTGTCTGAATGCCTAGTCCACTCCTTCTTGAGCGTCTCCACCTCCTGCCTTCTCATCCCATCTTCACTGGCTGCAGACGGGTTTAGCCTGCTGGTCTGAGTGTCAGGTTCAATCAATAAAGTAATTGGACCAATTGTGTGCCCAGGCCCTTCTCCCAACCACTGAGTATGAAGGTAAATAATACCCACCCCCTGCCGTAGGTCTTTGAGAGAGACACCGTGGGCACAATTATGGTTCAGTATGATGACCTGCTGTTTTCTCACTGACCCATTTTTTTAGATTATGGACTCATAAAATGTTATCTGGAAAGAATATTGGCAATTCATCCTGCCAGGATAATAGGTGGTGTTTGTTGGGAGCTGTGTACTAAACTATCATAAGTATTATATAATCTTCACAACACCTGGAGGGCGTTTCTATTAGGCCCGTTTTACTAATTAGGAAACTGAGGCACAGGACGGTGAAGGCGTGTGCCGAAGATCACACAGTTGCTCTAAGTGAAGTTGCCGGAATTCCAGTCCAGTTTTGTTTCACCAGAGTCTATGCCTAACTTATCCACAGTCCTGGGAAAATGAACTTGCAAACACAATTTTGCATAGAAGAGGTCATGGACGCCTTGAAATGCAATCCTTTAATCCCCCGGTTGGACCTCCAATTTAGTCCAACTCGTTTATTTTCCGGATGTGGAAACTGAAGCCCAGAGAGGGGGAGTGAGCACTAAAGGGTCACCCAGCCAGTAAGGACTAGATCCCAAGGCCCAACCTCCTCCTTGGACCTGCCTTGGCTGTGTGGGAGGTAGGAGACAGTGAGGGGCCCCGCCTAGCTGGGAGAGGGCTGGGCCTTGGGGGTCAGGTCGGGATTTTCCAGCTCGAGGGGAAGGGTGTCACTCCTTAGAGGGAAGAACAAGATGTAAAAGGCTCGGGCCATTGTGTCCCGGATGCCTCACACCCCTACCCCCAGCCAGTTCCCCGCCAGATGCTTCAGCCCCACACATGGGCCATGTCGCAGCCACGGGCACCCAGATCCCAGCCTGTTAACAGGGTGCCAAGGAAGACTGAAGCACGGGTGAACCATATCCTCCAGCCACAACCCCTGAGTCGTGCCAGCGGAGCACTGATGGCACGTATTCTGCCACCCCAACCCCAGCCTGGATAAGGGAACAGGAGGACAGTGTTCCCCTATCCCAAGCTGAGTGTCTGGGCCTGCGGTCCGGATGGGAGGGGGAGGGGCTACAGCTGTGGAAAGTTGGCAGAGGAAGCCGGCAGCAGCCGGGAGAGTGGAAAAAATGATATCAAACCCGGAAAATGCAGGCCGGATAGAGGGCCAGAGCCTGCCCTGGGAGGTGAGAGGGAGAGAGGGCGGGAGAATGAGGGAGGGCAGGAGGAGGCCCAGAGGCTGAGAGAGGAAGAAGGGCTGGGGAGAGAGCACAGGAGGTAGCTTTGAGAAAAGTGACATTTACCATCATTCCCTCCTTCTTTCATCCACAAATATTTATTGAAGGCCTACTAAGGGCAGGGTGCAGTGCCAGGCTGTGGGGAGATGGTGGTGAACCAAAAGGAGTAGGACGCTGCTCGCTGGAGGCAGACTGGAAACCAATAAGTGATTAAAATAATTACAAACTGATGAGAGGCTGAAAATCAGGGCCGTCGGGAAAGGCCCTGAAGATAATCCACTCCAGTGCTCCTCAATTTACAGATAGAGAAACTGAGGGCCAGAAAGGAGAGGGCCTGCCCCAGCCAAGCCACGCAGAGGGTAGAAGAAATAGTGCAGACCAGAAGGGACGGGAGGAGGGAGGAAAAGAGGTCTGGAGCAGACTGTGCTGGGGGAAGGGTATGCTGCCATGGAGGCAGGAGAGTAAAGTGGTTTCGGGCATAGGCCCTTAACCAGCAGCGGGTCTGTGTTCAAATCCTGCTCCCCTCCATCTCTCTTTGCCTTAGTTTCCCCATCTCTAAAATAGATTCATGCCGATTTTCACCCTGAGAAATTTGATGTGAGGATTAAATGATAGAAGATGCGTAAAACAACTCCTTTGTCTAGGAAAATTCAATAAATGTTGATTCCCACTACCATATCTTAAGACATTGGCTTGTTAAGCGTAAAGTGTTCTAGACTGTGAAGCCTGCTTGTTGAGTCCTTGCCCTGCTATGACACTGGGGGACTTTAGGAAAATCCCTTGCTCTCTGGGGCCTCAGGTTCCCCATCAATAAAATAAAGGGATTAAACCTGCACTCGTATGGAATACTTATGTACTCATATGTTTATTGTCTGTCTCCTGCACAGGAATGAAAGCTCCGTGAAGGCAGGGCCCTCGGTGCTGCTCTGTCTTCAGCACCTGCAACAGTGCTTGGCTCACAGTAGGTGATCAGCAAATATTTACTGAATGGATTGATTAACCAATCTGTAAAGTGGCCCTTCCTGTCCTCACCTCTCTGCTTCTAGGAGTCTATGAGCAAGACATGGTTGGAAAAACATGGGAGAAAACCACAATACTCCTCCCAGTGACACAGCCATTATAGTTTAGAAAGTTCCATTAAAAATAATAATAATAGTTAATTTTTTTTTTTTTTAACCTTTTTCTCTGTGCCAGACCCCAGGCTACATGCTTGGTACACATTTTCTCATTTTGTCACCACCACAATCCTGTACTTAATAAATACTGTTTGATAGATGAACACATTAAGACTAAAAGAAGCCAGGACATTTGTCCAAGTCCACACAGTAAGAAAGGTAGTCAAGATTTACGCCCAGATCAGTTGTCAAGAGACAGGCAAGAACTGCTCCCTTTATTGTCCAGTTGGGGAAACTGAGGCCCCCAGAGAGGACATGAATTGCCCAAGGTCATATAATAATAATGCAGAACAACAACAGCAAACAGTTACATCACCAGGAGCTATTTTCAGTGTTTCCCAGACATCAATTCATTAAATCCTCAAAACTGGTAATATTAAATTTACAGCAACGACAAAAAAAAGAGCAGCTGCTGAGGCTGCTTATGTACAAACACCTCATGGGGTTTGGTTCCTTGATTTGGAGGTTTAGGGACATGGTTTCATGGGATATCCCAGATAATTGGCCTAATAACATGTTTAGTGCTTCTGCTCTACCTTCTAGTTCACTGCTTACTGCCTGGGGTCTTAAAAGCTTGCAAGCTGCCATCCAAGCTACAATAATTGGTCTGTATTCACCTGGAGCAACAGAGAAAGAAGGAGAGTCCAGAATAGGAGGATATGGAATGTGTGGCTAATTGCCTCCATGAATAACTGCCTTCTTTGCCATGAGACCAGAAGAATTGGATGGTGCCTGGCTACCATTACTGAATATTTTGATCAAAGATGCCGTAGAAGAATCCTGATCAAAAGGGGGAAAATGCAGAACAGAATTTAAAATTTTAATGGACTGTAGACTTTCTGGAGTCATGGGGGGGGTGGACGAACCCCTGAAACTATTACCCTGAGGTAATCTTGAAACCTTAAACTAAAAATATTCCCTAGAAGTCTTCTTAAAACCGAACAATAGTCTAGCTTAACTAGTAAAAAATGTCCGCCTTGAGCATTATGCTTTTTTAAAAACTATCTATACGGGAGCAAATTGACAACAGCAACTCATAAGATTAGACAGGAACCTTAGGGGGCAGTGAATTTATGCTAATGAGAGAGGAATAACTCAGAAAAGGAGGGTGAGAATGGTTGCACAATTCGAACAATGTAATCAATGTCACAGAATTGTACATGTAGAAACTGTTGAACTGGTGTATGTTTTGCTGTGTATGTTCGCAACAACAACAAAATAAATAAAATTTATTTAAAAAAAAGTAATATCACCATACCAGTTTTCAGAGGAAGAAACTGCAGCACAGAGAGTTTCACTACCTTACCAAGGTTGCACAGCTAGCAAATAGCAGAGCCAGGATTCAAACCATGGAAGTCCAGTCCCCTGGTGTTAAGGACTCCTATGTATTGCACCATCTGTTAGTACCAGAAGTCAGAAGCAGGCTGGTATAAAAGGGGAGGTGTCTTTGCCCTGCACCCTGCTGCTAGGGCTTGGGGCAGTGCAGAGAACAAACACACATTGAGAATGTCCACAGCCACCAGCTGGGACTTTCCACCTTGAAGGGAGGAGTCTGTTATGGAAAAAATGATAAAGCTCTGGAAAGGCAAATGTCTCCCCAGGGGCCCTCGAGTCTCCTCAGAGGGCAGAGGGCTGCCCCTCGTTGCCGTGGGGGAGGAGCACTAACTGCCTGGTCCAGATCAGATGAGGGCCACCTGGATCTGGAGGCCGAGACACCCAGCCAGTCTGCTTGGATATCCAGGATCACTGCACTTGGTGGAAAGTTCCAACTTCTCAGCCAGAAGTATAAGGCTTCCACTGGGGGACCCCCAAAGTGTCAGGCCCAGCTCCCTGTCCTTGGATGGTGGGAATTACACATCTCACAGGGCCTAGCTCACTCCTTCCTTCATTCAGCAAACACTGACAAGGTTTGTGCTCTGAATGAAGGCCAGATAAGGAGGGTCACAGCTGGTCCTATCCCTGCCCTGGCTGGGAGTGGGAAGGGATGGGGAGGGGAAGAGAAGGGGAGGGTAGGCATCGTGGAAAATTCATCTACAGTTGCTTTATAAAGATTAAGAATTCCTCAGCTCTGCCATGACCTTAGGCAAATCAAAATATTCAAGAGTGACAGGGTGAGGGTAGAGTTCTCTATGTCATTGTCTCTGTCT